AGGCTCAGTCCTGGATCTACGGCCTCAGTCCTGGGTCTACGGCCTCAGTCCTGGATCTATGGCCTCAGTCCTGGATCTACAACCTCAGTCCTGGATCTACACCCTCAGTCCTGGGTCCTATGCTGGACAAGCTATGGAGCAAGGAAAAAGATTAACCAATGAGCTTACAGCAGAGGCATCCCGGCCCACCCCATGATTTGCATATCATTAAGAGAAATACGGATAAATAAATAAATAGAGAAATAGATAAATACAGAAATAAATAAATACATAAATAAATATAGAAATAAATGTATAAATGCAGAAATAAATTTATGAATAAATACAAAAATAAATACATAAATATATAAATAAATAATTAAATACAGAAATAAATGCACTTATTCTCATAATTGCATGCATTTCTTTGCAATTTTTTTTCTTTTTTAAATTAATTAATTTATTTATTTATTTCTGTATATATTTATTGTTTTGGCAACCACGGTCCTCCATATGAAAAGCTGATCTAAAGATGAGACAGAGGCCTTAAAATACATGAAAAACTAGTGATAGATCCAAACTAGTGATAGAACTACAGAGATATTCAATTATAGAGTTTGTGAATATCTAATTATTATTGCTTGCTAATCAATATACTATCTTGTCTACATTGGAGTTTGGTCTGTGACAAATGCCATGTTTAGCTTATAGTTATGCCATCTTACATCTCTGTGGTCTGTGTTTACATCAGCATTAAAGACGTATGTAAGATGCCATCCGTCACCGTGACAACCAGACTTCTGCAGGAGCTGCTTTGGGCCTGACAGTCCTCGCTCGAACCTACAAAAGCTCATAAAACAGCGCAACCTGTGTCTCATTGTCTACAGGAAAACAAGACACATATTCAATTTCTTTGTGTTTTCAAAGTTAGGTACCCCAGGTCTACAGTATATTTCACATTTTGTAGCCAACAGTGAAGCCTTTTTTTGTTGTATTTTTGGGACACATTTTTCAGTTGTATTTATGCATTTAAAATTGGGAAAATAGGCCACAGTTGATAAAGGCAGTGGATACTCAGCAGTCTGAGGCAAAAACAACAGCTGCTGGTGTCTGAGTTTGATGAGCCTGCGTAAGCAAACACATTAACATCCTCATTACGCCATTTTTCCTTTGCCTCCATCTTGTCTGTCTGCAATTTTAGTTTCTTAAAGTGGTATTAAATGATAGAAAACACATAGAGCCATTGGTCCATAAGGGGCGGATGACCAATGTCCATACACATGTTGATAAAAAGGAGGCTGGATTCCCTGTCCCATCATCACGCCATGTAACAGACAAGAGGACAGCAGGTGAATAGCAATGAACAGACTAGAGCTGAAGTCATAATGATCACAGATAAAGCAGGAAGAGGAGAGGATAGTGCGTAGCCTCCTTTGCTCAAATGAAATGCAATTGAAGCCATACTAACATCATCTTTAATGGATCCAATGCAGGACGCAGATGTATTTTTCAAGTTGAGGGGAATAGCGCAGAGACACATGTCCAGTTTAAACATAACACACTAGACCTGACCACTTGATCTTTAACAAAGTGGAAGAGTGATGTTATCAACTTGTTTCGTGGGCCTCCCCAAGGTTTCTCACTTTTCTCCCACTGGGTATTTGGAGTTTTTTTCTTGCCGATCGAGGGGGTCAACAAAAGATTTAGAATTTAACACATGATCTTGACTGATTTACTTCAAGTATGAATATAGGGTTATACAGTATTATGTTGTTTTTATACATCTGTTTTCAACATTTTGTCATAATTATTACATAGATTTTTATTATGACCGCAAAAAAGGAGTAGCTCTCTGCCTTTTCTGTTGTATAAAAGTAGCTCCCCGATTGAACATTTTTGGAGAGCCCTGGTCTAAGGACAGTGGTGGTGATCCAGGACACTTGACATTACAACTAGATTTATCAACATTTATTGTAACACCTTCTGGACGAATGCATTTTCTGAGTCTAAACTGTTTGATTCTCTGATCTGTGCTTGCAAACTGACATCTTTATAAAGTCCTCCGAGATGACTACTGTTGTGATTCAGGGCTGTACAAAAATAAACTGAATTGATTTGTTTGGAGTATCCTGAACATGCCCTCTTGAAAGCACATCTGAGAAAAAGCCATCACCGCTTTTACCTTTCTCTGGCTTGAATCATTGCTCGGCCTCTCGTCGTGGGACAAAACAGATTGTCAGATGCTCAAGAGGCCGCGAATCTTCTGCGTGTCATGGTTCAGTGCATTTATTCTCCCGCGACACAGAGCTACAGGCAGCACAGATGAGAAGCCACGACCCGACACAGAACACAACGAAACTTACCCAGGAATACAGCAAAAGCAACATAAGCCCGATACTCTTGTACACTGACCCTAGTATGTTGCTCCATCTGCTAATGTCAACAGTACAGCAACCTCCTGAAGTGGAAAGGGCTTGGACAGTGTTGCCGTTCTGCTCTCTCTAAGTGTTTTGCATGGGAAGGATATGGAGTGATTCTGTTTAATTCAATTTGCAGCGAAAAAAGCAGCACTTACGCAAAAAATGTTGGAACTGTCCATTTACCGCCAGATGCCATCTTCTTTGCTCTATGCCCATCCTTCACTTTTAGGCATTTATTTTCTGGCAGTAAGCTGTAGTCTCCTGAAAAGGCTTGAAATTATAGTCAACCCAAATGATATGGCATGGCAGTTTGTCACATTTGCATGAGAACTTATTCAGACCGCCTCCTTTTGCATTTTCCAAATCATTTCGACTGGTATAAAGAGATGTGTTATTTCTGTAGGTTGCGTCAAATCAGAGCCTTGTTTTGTTTACACATAGGCACTTTTATTCATAGTTTAACCCCGTAAAACCCAGACATAAAATATTTGAAAAATATTGAAAAAAATGTGTGCTATTTTTTGGAAGCAGCGTTCAATGTAGAATATTTGCTTCTTCTAACCGTTGAACTTAAGCCACAAGGTTGAAATTAAGGAATATTCATCCTCATTACGCCATTTTTCCTTTGCCTCCATCTTGTCTGTCTGCAATTTTAGTTCCTTAAAGTGGTATTAACATGCTCTTTTAGCTGTCAGGCAAGGATAGAAAACACATAGAGCCATTGGTCCATAAGTGGCGGATGACCAATGTCCATACACATGTTGATAAAAAGGAGGCTGGATTCCCTGTCCCATCATCACGCCATGTAACAGACAAGAGGACAGCAGGTGAATAGCAATAGTTTTTTTTTTATTATTTTTTTATTTTTTACAAATTATCAGCTTCAGATGGAGTGGGAAGATATAAAATAAATAATATTGTCTTGATATAGACCTCGTAAAAGTGGCCTGAGAGCCACATACGGCCCAGTTCATTTATTTTTTTATGTGGCCCTCGGCCCTCCCCCCTGGACTGCCACCTTAACGTGGTGGGGGAGTTTGAGTACTCGGATGATCCTGGGAGCTATGCTGTCCGGGACTTCATGCCCCTGGTAGGGCCTCCCATGGCAGACAGGTCTCAGGTGACGAGTCAGACAAAGAGCAGTCCAGAAGACACCATGGACAGCACTTATATGAGATCAGTGACGTCGCCCGGCATGGCGCAGCCGGGGCCCCACCCTGGAGCCAGGCCTGGGGTCGGGGCTCGTATGCGAGCGCCTGGTGGCCGGGCCTTAGCCCACGGGGCCCGGCCGGGCTCAGCCCGAATGGACGACGTGGGCAGTCCCTCCTGTGGGCCCACCACCCGCAGAGGGGTCCGTGGTGGCGAAGCGGTGCAGAGAGGACTGGGCAGCGGTCGAAGGCGGAGACCTCGGCGACCCAGTCCGCACACACAACAGCTGGCTCTTGGGACGTGGAACGTCACCTCACTGGGGGGGAAGGAGCCCGAGCGCGTGGGGGAGGTTGAGCGAAACCGACTAGAGATAGTCGGCCTCACCTCCACACACAGCTTGGGCTCTGGAACCCAACTCCTTGAGAGGGGTTGGACGCTCCACTTTTCTGGAGTTTCCCGCGGGGAGAGGCGGCGAGCTGGGGTGGCCATGCTGGGGTGGCCATTCTCATTGCCCCCCATCTCAGCCACGTGTTGGAGTTCTCCCCGGTGAATGAGAGGGTCGCGTCCCTCCGCCTCCGGGTGGGGGACAAGTCTCTCATTGTTGTGACGGCCTACGGGCCTAACAGCAGTGCAGAGTACCCGGCCTTCTTGGAGTCCTTGGGAGGGGTACTGGACGGTGCACCGCCCGGGGACTCCGTTATTCTCCTGGGGGACTTCAACGCCCATGTGGGAAACGCCAGTGACACTTGGAGAGGGGTGATCGGGAAGAGCGGCCCCCCTGATCTGAACCCGAGCGGTGTTCAGTTGTTGGACTTCTGTGCCAGTCACAGTTTGTCCATCACGAACACCATGTTCGAGCACAAGGGTGTCCACCAGTGCACGTGGCACCAGCACACCCTAGGCCGGAGGTCGATGATCGACTTTGTTGTCGTATTATCTGACCTTCGACCGTGTGTCTCGGACACTCGGGTAAAGAGAGGGGCGGAGCTGTCAACCGATCATCACCTGGTCGTGAGTTGGATCCGCTGGCAGGGGAAGAAGCCGGTCAGACTTGGCAGACCCAAGCGTATAGTGAGGGTCTGCTGGGAACGTCTCGCTGAGCCCCCTGTCAGACGGACTTTCAACTCACACCTCCGGGAGAGTTTCTCCCAGGTCCCGGCGGAGGAGGGGGACATGGAGTCCGAGTGGACCATGTTCTCTGCCTCAATCGCCGATGCGGCGGCTCGTAGCTGTGGTCGCAAGGTCTCTGGTGCTGGTCCCGGCGGCAACCCTCGAACCCGGTGGTGGACACCGGCAGTAAGGGATGCTGTCAGGCTGAAGAAGGAGTCCTATCGAGCCATGATGGTTTTGGGGACTCCTGAGGCAGCTGTCCAGTACCGGCAGGCCAAGCGTGCCGCGGCCCGGGCTGTTGCAGAGGCAAAAACCCGGGACTGGGAGGAGTTCGGAGAGTCCATGGAGCATGACTATCGGTCGGCCTCGAAGAGATTCTGGCAAACCATCCGGCGCCTCAGGAGGGGGAAGCAGTTCTTTGCCAACACCATGTACGGTGCGGGTGGAGAGCTGCTAACCTCGACTGGGGATATTGTCGGACGGTGGAAGGAATACTTTGAGGTTCTCCTCAATCCCCCCGTCACGTCCTCTGTTTCAGAGGCAGAGGCTGAGGATGTTGGGGCGGATACATCCATCTCCCTGGCTGAGGTCACCAAGGTGGTTGGTAGCCTCCATGGTGGCAAGGCTCCGGGTGTGGATGAGATCCGCCCTGATTATCTAAAGTCTCTGGATGTTGTAGGACTGTCTTGGGCTGACACGTCTCTGCAACATCGCGTGGCGATCGGGGGCAGTGCCAATGGAGTGGCAGACCGGGGTGGTGGTCCCTCTCTACAAGAAGGGGGACCGGAGGGTGTGTTCCAATTACCGTGGGATCACACTCCTCAGCCTCCCCGGTAAGGTGTACTCCAAGGTACTGGAGAGGAGGCTACGGCCGATGGTCGAATCTCGGATCCAGGAGGGGCAGTGTGGTTTTCGTCCCGGTCGCGGAACACTGGACCAGCTCTATACTCTCCATCGGATACTCGAGGGTTCATGGGAGTTCGCCCAACCTGTCCACATGTGCTTTGTGGATTTGGAGAAGGCGTTCGACTGTGTTCCCCGGGGTGTCCTTTGGGGGGTTCTCCGGGAGTACGGGGTCGGAGGTCCTCTGCTGAGGGCCATCCGATCCCTGTATGACTGTGTTCGCATTGCCGGCAGTAAGTCAGACCTGTTCCCGGTGAATGTTGGCCTCCGACAGGCCTGCCCTTTGTCACCGGTTCTGTTCACTGTATTTATGGACAGAATATCTAGGCGCAGCCAGGGGTCGGAGGGGGTCCGGTTCGGAGACCACAGGATTTCATCTCTGCTGTTTGCGGACGATGTTGTCCTGTTGGCTCCAACGAACCAGGACCTGCAGCATGCACTGGGACGGTTTGCAGCCGAGTGTGAAGCGGCTGGGATGAGAATCAGCACCTCCAAATCCGAGGCCATGGTGCTCGACCGGAAAAAGGTGCCTTGCCCTCTGCAGGTGGGTGGAGAGGTCCTTCCTCAAGTGGAGGAGTTCAAGTATCTCGGGGTCTTGTTCACGAGTGAGGGAAGAATGGAGCGTGAGATTGACAGGCGGATCGGTGCAGCGTGCGCAGTGATGCGGTCGCTGTATCGGACCGTTGTGGTAAAGAGGGAGCTGAGCCGAAAGGCAAAGCTCTCGATTTACCGGTCAATCTTTGTTCCCTCCCTCACCTATGGTCATGAGCTTTGGGTAATGACCGAAAGAACGAGATCGCGGATACAAGCGGTCGAAATGAGCTTCCTCCGCAGAGTGGCTGGGCGCTCCCTTAGAGATAGGGTGAGGAGCTCAGTCACACGGGAGGAGCTCGGAGTAGAGCCGCTGCTTCTCCACGTCGAGAGGAACCAGTTGAGGTGGCTCGGGCATCTGTTCCGGATGCCTCCTGGACGCCTCCCTGGGGAGGTGTTCCGGGCACGTCCCACCGGGAGGAGGCCCCGCGGAAGACCTAGGACACGCTGGAGGGACTATGTCTCTCAGCTGGCCTGGGAACGCCTTGGGGTCCCCCCGGACGAGCTGGAGGAAGTGTGTGTGGATAGGGAAGTCTGGGCGTCTCTGCTTAGACTGCTGCCCCCGCGACCCGGCAACGGATAAAGCGGAAGAAAATGGATGGATGGATGGATGTGGCCCTCGGACCTTTCCCCATCTCTTCCCTTATTTAAATGAATAGGAATCAACACTCAATAAACATTTGCAACTTAATGTGAGCTACGATGACATCATATGCCTCACAATAATGAATCAAAAAACATTCTTCTGTCCACAACACTTAGCTTAAGTTCAGCTTTGGTTCAATCCGTACAAGAATGTAAAAACTGTACGTCCCATAGCGTAAAAGGTTAAAATAATATATTTACACAAACCAAGATAACATTGGATATCTCCAGGTTTCCTTCTTCTTCTCATCTGTAAATATTTTATCAAACACACACATTTTTGTACATGTTTTCCCTGAAGTAGCTTACACTCGAACTGTGCAAAAAAGCTGCATTTTAATCCGGCTGGTTTTCAGACAAATGTGAAATCTAACTTGTTTCTCCCTGTGTCTGGGTGGGTTTCCTCTGGGCTCTCACCCAAAACATGCACCATAGGTCAAATCTTCCAGAAAAAGTCCTGACAAATCCGAGCCTCAGCGTCTGATGCTGCACTGCAGGGCTGGGGATGAGGGGAAAGTTACATCTCCACTTTATCGCCTGCTTTGGACAATTTTGATTTCAATTAAACTTACAGAAGAACAGAATTTAACTCATTGACTGCCCTTGACGCATTTGCCTGAGACTATAGGTTTCTGTCAAACTTCCTTCTATTCGGCGAGAGATTATAGGATAACTAAACTAGCTAGAAACAAAGTTATTATTGCGGAAGAAAGTAGATCGTCCAGTCTTTCAGAATCTACATTTCACATAATAAGTTATAAAACACCATTCTCTGTGGGTCTTGAAAATCATCAATGACCAACGTACATTTGTGGACGTTGGTCATTCTGCTTACTATGGACCACTGACTTCTATGTGTTTGTTATTATTGAATTATGGTGCTGTTGTTGGGAGATACAAAAATACATGTGATTGAATTGAAACTCAAACTAAAGTCAAACTTCCTGGAGGAATCCTGCTCTTGATATTCTCATACGTTTTCACATTATTGACATCATTTTTTTGCCAAGCCATAACCTCTTAAACATATTACGAGTTCATTATTTCCTGCAACTATTTTGAGAAACTAAATAGTAATAAACAAAGACAAGAGCTACATAACTCAAACCATTACATTTTACACAAACCTCAAAACGCAAAAATTAGTCTTCCACATACAAGCTCAAATATTTGGATGTATCGCAACATGCCTAAATCTCCAAAGTAAATTCAAGTTTTGCTTTACTTTGTTTAGTCATTTTTTTTTTGTAATTCTTTTTTTTTTGTATTATTCCTCTCCTGTCCCCTAACCTTCCCCTCCCTTGCATAATAAAGACATAACAAATATTTCGGTTATAAAAAAAAATATTGGAGAGGGCAGTTTCAATTCCAGTATGCAGGACGACTAATAACGTATTAAAAGAAAAGTAACTTGTATAGACTCTAGATTCGGGGCCACATGAGCCGGACCTCAAAGAAGCAGTTTGTCGGACTCTGTAACAAGATCCGTCCACGCCTGGGCGACCGGAGAGGCAGCTGCTCTTCGCCTGTCGAATCACAGAGCGCTGCTTTTAACCGCCAGAATCCTGAGTGATGAAGTGAGATAGAAAAGAGGAGGAAGAGCGAGGCATAATTAGGGAGAGAGAGAGAGAAAGCAGGGGAGTGGAGTGGGGGAGTCAGGGGGGCAAAGAAACTGCAACCAGGAAACACAAAGGAGGAAAGAATCCAGCGGAGACTGAGACAGTTCGAGCTGAAAATCATTTAGCGCTAAGCTAAATGCCAACTAAGAATAGACTTTGAATCAATCAAACCCAAGCTATCTGGCCGCTGAATTAATACGTCCCCTGGAAAGCAACGAGCTCGGTCCAAAGAGGAAGCACTTGTTCCTCGCATCACTTCAACAAATAAGACAAATTACTCTCAACGCTGCAGTAAAAGAACAAAACCCCCAACAATATGTGGATTATTTTGCATGGATTTATGTCTTTGTATCTACAGGTTTAGCATCTGGCTGACGACACAAACAACTTAAAGTACTTTTGAATCAAGATTATTAGATGTTTGTTAGTTGGTCAAAACTGGGGTTGTTTTCGTAACTAATACAGACAGAGTAAAAAGTTCAGACCAACAAGCAACAAAACGCCGTCATGTTCTTATATCAAAGCGTAGAATGTTTTGCATATGTAAAAAGTGGGTTTTTTCCACGATTTGTCCAAGCTAAAAAAATGCATACATAGTCATGCACTGTTTAATTTAGTTAATGATATGATATGATATGATATATGATAATGCATATAATATAAATTCCATAAGACATAGAATAGTTTGTATCATAGCAGGTAAAGTACATTAATGAGATCTGTCCAGTAGATTATAAAAGATAAGTACAAGTTAAACCAAAAGTGTGAAACAATGTCAACAGTTTCCGCGTTCAGAAGGCAGCAGGCTTGAGTTCCTCCACCGACCGTCATCCACTCACAGCCAGTGTTTTGGTGGCTCTCATAAAGACAATGTCAAAACCAAGTAATATGGGAATCAATTAGCGAAGCCACAGACGTCTGGATTTGTCAGGATGTGGCTTTCATCGTGACCCCTGTCTCCATCTCCTGTATAATAAGAATAATCACATCATTTCATCTTTAAAGAGCGATTCCCAGTGACTTCTCGCCCCTTGTTCTTTCTAAAGAGGCGTCAGATCCTCTCTGTCGCATGGCCGCTCATCACAATTCACAGATAACTATCCCGTTTTACGCCAACCCAGCTACAATAACATTAGCGGTTTTTTGTTTTTGCTCTCGGAATGTGACAAAGCGCTTCCCAATTAGCGGCAAAATCTTCCTTTTGACTCAATTAAACATTCATCCTAGACGCCCTCGTTATTGTCGGCGTACGTTTTTTTAAAGATAGCGACTTCAAAGCGTTGGCGGTTCAAAAGACTCATGGACCAGTTGTGGCTGCGGCGTTCTTTCGGGCGATTTCTCCAACAAACCGTTTTGTGCCATTGAGGATATAACAGATGTCACATGAAACTCCAGTCAAAAAAAAAAAACGAGTCCCCTCATTTATCATTCTTAATCATTTCCTGCAGATTTCTCGAGACCGCGCTTATTGAATGCATCTATCTTTCTCTCATTGTGGTTCGCGGACAGAGATGGATGCGAGGGCGCTGAGAGACTTAAAGGACCGGCCGGGGTTCTGGCGGCGGCGCCCACGACCGACACTCGGTAATTCTTTTCAGTGCATGAGCTCACATATGACTCTGCATATATTTACCCAATGAACAGCTTGTCAGGGTTAAGTGGCTGGGATTTGGGAAAAGGCTGGATTCCTTCGAGAAAAAAGGTCAATGAGATGGAAGAAAAGCTTTGGATGATTGTGGAAAATGGATTTGAACTTGACTGATTTGAAAGAAGTCCTTATTGATATATTGCGGCAGGGTGACAGGTTGAACTGCTCGGACTTAAACTTCTGCGTCGGTGTTAAAAGCATAGAATAGTACTGTAGCAGTGGAATAACCAATTGTGATGTCACTAATAGGAACTTTTTAAATGAGAAAAAATAATGTTTTTTGTGCTATCGTGGGTAATTATCAGTGTTGAAAACGAGCACTCAAAAGAGAAAAAATACAATAAATAACTTGGATAGTTTTTTAGACAATAATGTAAAAGATCTGCATGAGCTCTCAGTGAAAATATGGAGGCATATTTTCTCCTAGCAAC